AAATTTCTCACCCAAAGTACACTGAGTTAAAGATGAAAACACAATCTCTCTTTTTCTTGTGCGTGTCTATCTCGCTTCCTCTTGTTTTTTTTTTTGCATCGCATGGATGAACCTCGAAGTTCATTTCTAGCGACAACGTCATGCTCAAGCAACATGGTGAACAAGCAGCCACCTCCACCATCTAGCACAACATTTATTTTTTTTTGAAAATCATTAAATCATTCAATGTCATCGTTGTCATTGTTGTGGATGCCAACGATCTAGGTTACAAAAACTTTAGTATGGAGGTTGAGAGGATGAGGCAACTAAATCTTGAGGAGCGCAGAAGCATTTACACGATAGGAAAACGAATAGTTTTAACCTTAAAAGAAAAAAAAAGAAAAAAGAAAAAGACAAGATTGTGGTNTTCAATTGTTCAATCATGTAATTGTTATTTGATAAATATTTTAATATTATTCCGTTTTTTAAATCATAAAATTAAAATATATAACATTTTGATGCATAATACCTGATAATATCATATATTTTTATTGTAATCTTTTATTTCTTTTATAGCTTATTTAATTACTACTTGAAACATTACGAGAATGAATACAGTTATACCGTCACTAGATAGAAAAAGAGATAAATTATTAACGAATTTTGTATCCATTAAAAATAAATAAAAAATGAATTTGAATTTTTATTTTAAAGAGGAAAAGGGTATAATCAAACATCCACCCACCATAGTCGCCATGATCCCTAATTTTAACTGTGTAGTATAAAAAGTTATAAGAATAAATCTTACATATCCTTATGAGTTGTAATACGTGGAGTTTTCAATTAATAGTGAGTTAACATAACAAGAAATTACTTGTGTGAAGTCCAGTATGTTCCTTTATTGAAGATAATTGACCCAACCGAACCTATTGACGATTAAATCAAGGCATTCTAATAAATACGAAAATATGGAAAATTAAAAATTGAGAAAATAAACAAGACTGAAGAAAAATAATATGTGTTTCTGCTGAATGGCACAGGAAAAAACACCTGTTATCTCTGTCTGGAAACACTCCTCCTATCGGTCTTTCTCTATCAAAGAACAGAGAGTTTACCTTCTCCTTTGACTGCTATTTATGTGATTTCAGAGAATATTACCCATTAATTTACCTCTTAATGGCTTTCAATGCACACCTTAAATACTCGACAATGACCGTTACCTCATTAAATACACATTCATGAGCATTCAACTGTTGTCTTCAGTCCACAGTTTTATACATCTGCCCGATCGAACATATTGTGCTTAAGAGATCCGATCGGACATATCAGCCTGTGACACCCGATCGGACAAATTAGCCTTGCTTCCAGCAGCTCGGCATTGTCCCAATTTTCCCGGTCGGTTGCCCGCCCTCGGTAGTAACCATATGAATTTAGTTTAAAACAATAAAATTGAAATTTTAGAGTAATTAAAAGTTAATTATATTTTAGATAAAAATATTATAATCTTAATATTGTTTTAGATTCATCCATTTTCAATTTTTACTTATGAGTTCACGTAACCCAATTTAAGTCCAGCAATGAAGTCATACCACCCAACTCTTTTTATACAAAATAATAAGAGAAAATTTTAGAAATAATAGAAACATATAAATTCAGAAACCAGCTGGGCATCTTAATAGCATTAAAACATATAGCATGTCTTATAAGTAGATTATATGATTTTACAACTCCTTAATTGAAAACGATAGAAAACTTAACTAATTGTGAGTCAACATTTGAAATAGAATTCGAATATTTCAATCTTTGATAAGTTGATGACAATATCACTATAATAAGAACACTACTTCAAATTTTAGTATGTTGCTGAGGGAAATAGACAACACAACCCCTAAATATTTCTAGTTTAAGAAAGGAATAAGTTTCTAAAAGAAAAATATGATTTAAAGGGAAACAAAATATTTATGGTTTGAATTTCTTATCCAAATTAAATTAAATGAGGTATTTTATTACATATACAAATTGATATTATCAATGACAAGATTATCAGAGATACTCATAAAGGAAAAAGAAAGAAAATGCTTGAAATGATAGAAACTTAACTTAAGTAAGAGAAGCAATTTAAGAACAATTAAATTAAGTAAGTATGAGCCACACTTACTTTAAGAAATTATTTACAAGTGTAAATTTTATTCTCCACAGAAAATTGTTGTATTTTGTTATTGTGTTTATTTTTTTATTTTACAAATAAGAGCCACTGATACAATATATAATTATGTTGAACACAATATATATTTGTGTGGAATGAATAAATGAAAAAAACTTTAGTTTCTTTGAATTTCAGGGTTAAGTTACATAATGTCTCACTTATATCATATATGAATAAGGAAAAAAAGTTACACATTTGATAAGCTTGTGTAATAAAATCGGTTATAATTTTATTAGCTAGGTAGTCCTAAGAGACAAACATATTGTCTATAATCTCATACTAGACATAGCTTGCAAGAGAAAGGCTGACCTCCAATTTCTTGTAGCTAAGCTAACATTTCTTGCTCATCATATATTCAAGTTGGGATTTTGTTCATGGTAAATTACACAATGTTATGAGAAATATTGTGTTACACACTTCCACGTGGATTGTCTTATGAAAAGCTATTTAAGCTAATATTTTATTTTATGATTTGAGAGACCAGACACCGTTCAAATTATTATATTTAACTCTACCTTTTGTTCAACATTCATTGGCGTAAGAAATATTAATTTAAAACAATAATTGAGGGCATTTCAGAATTCAATTCAAAGATGAATTCTCAGGTCTCACTAACGTACCGTTGCACCCATTTGTTTATAAACGAAAAAGTAAGAGTTAGCCAAGACAAAAACAACACTCACTAACACACGTGACGTGAAAACGACACGTGTAAGCAGGACCAAGACATGTTAAAAAATATTAATATTCAAATAAAAAGTATATTTTGAATAAGCTGTAATGACTTCTTCACATTGCACTGTTCTAAAATAATGAACAGTGTTGTCTTTGACAACTGTGGTACACAATAATGAGAATCGTTGAGGTTCAAAGATGAGGAAAGTTTGCGTCAACTGTGAAAAGCACCGCACGTGTTCTTCTACGACACAGTATGCAAGACCTTACGCAGATGTCGCACCTTATCCTCAACCTTGGACTTTCAAACTTTGACATTCACTTTTCTGGTATGAGTTTTCAACCATTGTTAAAGCGAGGAACGATTTTCTTTTATAAAAAGTCATATGAGAGAAAGCTGACTGAGGAAAACAAGGTGTTCAATAATTGCAACACAGCATAACATAACATGTACACACACAGTCCTAGCCAGTATCCGACCAGAGCAGGTTCATATTATATACATAAAAGTGGTATGGCATGGCGGCTAATGTGATGTGAAGCGATTGGATCGGAGACAAACATGTCGGAAACAAAAGCATCAGTGAGAATTTGGATCACCATTTCTATACTGTGGTACATGTTTCGATATCCATTTTCAATTTCACATACTCCAAAAATATAAAATATAACGTCAAGCGAGTATTTCTTTTACGTTGGTGATTTCAACTTGTAACCGAACAGACTATAGGCACATTTTCTGAGAAAAATATTTAGGTTTATGCTAGTATTTTGTAAGCGAGAATAGCTGATTTTATTGTCATTAGTGGGAGTTTACTAAGTATGATGGGACTAGTATTAATAACACTCAATTCAACTGAATAATTAAGAGTTATTAAATAATATATGAACGAGAATTATTAAATAATATTAATAATTTATTAAGGAGAAACAATTTAAATATTGAAAATATTTAACTTTCGTCAATGAGTAATTACGTGAATATATTTGCTATCCTTACACGTGTGTATAAGATAGAAAAAAATAACTTTTAAATATCAAATAGAATATTTTTCATAACACACTCCTCATTACGGTTAAATTTAGTTTAAAGTAACTAAATCGTGTGAATAGATTGGTTTGAAAGGACTTTAAAAAGGAATCTAACTCTGAAGAATAGATGGCTTTCATAGGCTTCTAACAAAACGAATAATGAACAAAAAAAGATGGGTGTGAAGCTCATACAATATTTTTTTTATATTTTGATTACAACAAAGGAAAGTATAGAAAAGCACATTGCAAAAAGAAAAGGGAAAAATCAATAGTCCGTATCACACAAAAACGCTGACATGAATTTCTAAGGCATTGGCCCATTTTTTAGATTTATGACAAAATTTTATCACTTTTGTATTCAATTAGAAAGCAAACAACAACGATAACAGAAATGGTATATAGACCAGAGTCGAGTAATGTGTTTTATTAAACACAAATTTAGGTGATACAAGATATCAACTAATTAATATTTACGAGATCATAAATAATGTATACCTAGTTTGGCTATCCATTATTAATGAATTAAAAAAAATTAACCTAACAAACATATCTTCAGCATTTTCTTGAGTAATTGGACATAATTTAACACGTTCACACCGTATTGCTACTCAGAATTTTGAAATATAATTTTTCATAATTGTGTAGTCCATGAACCTTTTTAATATATTTTAGAAAACATTTCCAAAAAACATATTAAAACTTAAAAGAATCATTTTCGTCATTACTTGTTCAGTATCTGGTTATAATTCTTTTTTCTAGAATAACTTTCAAATGTGTAATAAAAAAAAACTTGTTTAATATATTCGAATGTAACGAGGTGCAGAAAGTGATTATATAGATGGACTAAAAGAAAAAGCCTCTTAAATGGTCTCAAAACCTATTCTAAAATTTGGGCCACAGATTTTTTTTAGGGCCGGAACAACAATTTGTTAAGCCATCCTATTCTAAAATTTGGTCTCAAAATTTTTGTCACTGCCATTACGCTTATTTTAAGAAAAATCTGAAAAATCGAAACGCCAGTAAAAACACAGCTTCAATGTCAAACTTTGTTTTTTAAGATAAAATTTACTCGCTTTGAAAAGAAAGATGCTCAACTTGATAGGCGTCCGAATGAAAAAAAAAAAAACGTAAATAAAATCAAAGTGAATAAAGCTGCAGATTACTGAAGATTATAAAGCAGATGACATCAAGAGCTGCTTCACCCAAATTAAACTACCTTAATGTCCATCCCCGGATTTCTTTGATATTGCAATGACATTGAAGTTGAGGGAATCTGGATTTTTCTGGATCATGCTCTGGATCACTTTAGCTGCATCCTGTCGTAAATTTAGATACACATATTACTAACTAAAAATAGTTTAGTAGAGAAAGAAGCATGCAAGATGAAAGATAGTAAACCCAGTTGCTTTAGACATGATCAAATAACTAGGATCTCCAAGGGTCGAAAATGAGTTTCAGCCCTCCCAAATTTGACTACATGGAGCACAAAGAAAAAGGCTATATAAAATCTGATGAAGGTGGAGAACTATGAGAAAAAATTATACACCAAGGATACTACTTATAATGGGTTTTTGTAGGATTTGACGTGAGTGGGCAAGCAATTAACTTGAACGAAACTTCCATTTAGTGATAGAAAGTAAAATACAAAGACAAAAATGATATCTCAAACCCTCTCTCGCACACAAATAGACTGTTTTTTCCCATTCTGGTGTAATTTCGAAAAGAAATCGCAATTTGTTTCTAAATTGCATGTCAAGTACGACTTATTTTACTTTTGAACTAAAGTCGACCATGGAAAATACGATTTCAGTTTTTTTTATACGTCTTCTTTGCCATGCACAATTTTGGTGTGATTTCAAAAATCAGAGTTGAAGTATGATGAAATAGAAAATGGAATCCATGGAAGGCGCTACTACAATGAGACCATTGTCACAAGAAATTTTTGACATGGGACGCTAGAGAATTCTTCTTCGCCAAAGCTCTTGCATCTACACACCCTTTGTGAAGACCGAGAAAACATGCAGAGAGTGGAAGTCAGGTGTAAGTAAGAGAATGGCCGAACGGTTTTTGACAGCAGTATTTAAACTGGGGTTTTGAAAAAATCGTGCCACTTCCCTGCTGCAACCTTCTTCTCCACCAAGCTTCTACACATTTTCTCCTCCTCCTCTCTACTTTCTTCCTTATATTTCTCCACCTTCTCTCTAAATTTTCTCCTTCCTTCTTCTTCTGATCAACAATCAGTTGGTGCCTGAGCACTCTTGGTGTCAAGGGCTTCACTTTACATCAATCAAAATCCTTTCTTGAAGCTGGTAAAGTCTGAACCTTCTTCCTGTGAATTCTCTGCGTTTTCTGTGCATGCAAGCATTGATCGGCTTGCATGTGTTATTGCATTTGTTCCTGAGTCTTTTCTCTTTTGGTTTCTTCGGTTGGTTTCGCTGCACCGACCAGAAATTGTAGCTGTTGTAGAAGTTCTCGGGTTGAACCGTGTAAAAGTGGTCTCTTTGATTCGAGGTAAGGGAAGCTAGTAATTTAATTACGTTTTTTGTATTGGAATTGGTTGTTTGAATGTATGCATGTATGATTGAATGATTGTGTTGCTGATTTGTGTGTATGACCGAGACATGTGAACTGTTTGGTTTCTGCTAAAATAGTGTTGGGTTTGTTCTTGGTTGGAGAAAGTGAATGAGTGAAATTGAGAAGTTGAGGCTAGAAATGAAATTAGGTAATGAATTGTGTCTGAGCATGTTTAGTTAGACTTGATAAAGCCTTTAAGTTCTTCTGTAAGGTATGAGAAGTGAGAAATCTGACTTTGGGTCCTTGGGTTCTTATTTTGTGTAAATGGAGGTGAAATCTGTCATGAAACTCTCTAGATTTGTGTTTTTGAAGTTTAAGTATATCTAATTAGGTGTGAATTGATATATGATTCAAGTTTTGAGGATTAGAAGTTAGCCAAAGTGTTTAGAAATGGTCATGTTGGGTGTTGTTCATAATTCTGCAAAAGTTCTGCAGAATTATTCAGAACGCTGAAATGGTTAGTGTTGACCGTTCGACCTTGTTCTGCTTCTTAAAGAGTGTTCGGTCTTAGACTGGTACTTGGTTTCTTAAAGAGTGCTCGGTCTATACTGACACTCGGTCTCTCGAAGAGTGTTCAGTTGGTACTGACACTCGGCTTCTTGAAGAGTGTTCAGTTGGTACTGACACTCGGCTTCTTGAAGAGTGTTCGGTTTGTACTGGCACTCGGACTTTTGAAGAGAACTCAGTCTTGTATGTAGCGTTCGGTATAAATTGTAAGGGTTCAGTTTAAGGCGATAGTGTTCGGTCTTAGCCAGTAGCGTTCGGCGTAAGCCAATAGTGTTCGGTGTAAGTTAAAAAGGGTTAAGGGGTTTAACGTTTGGTTATGTTCATAGGTTAAAGCAGTACTTCCGTTCGGTCTCCAACATTCACAGAGTCGTTCGGTGTTATGAGTAAAAATATAATATGTGTATGAAAATGCTTTAAAGTAATGTGGAAGAGAATTCCAAGGCGGAATGTCACATGAATGGTAAAGTATGAATGTGGTCATGCTAAGTGTCGTTTATCCTGATGTTCTATGATTACTCATTCTCAAGTAGAGAGGAGTAACTCATGTGTGAGAACGGCAGGAGGTCCTAGTCCATAGGGTGAGATGGGCGACAACATAACGGACTTACCTCGGGTGGCAGCTATTGAGGGTATCCCAGCTACTACACCACCTGGGTGCAAAAACGTCTAGCTACACAATTCATACAATCCGAATGGTCAAGTTTACATGGTCGGTCTTTGCTTGTTGTGTGCTCGATTATTGCCTGAAACATGTACATGATGGTTGTATGGTTGATATGTTGTTTTCTTTGTTGGTTTTTATCTTTGTTAAATAATGTGTTGTATGGATTAATTAAATTACTCTAGCTTACCCTACTTTTCTGTCTTGTCCTTCCCTGTCCGTTCGGTCGTTCTCTTCACTGCAATGATCATCCTTTGGATGTAAGCAGAAGGCGATGAAGACTCCCTGGAGCAAGTGCTGAGCGAGGAGCCCCCATCTTCTTAAATTAGGGCCGTTCGGTTTGTACATAGTACTGTATGACCGTTCGGTTTGTGTATATATCTTTTTGTACACCGTTCGATTGTAGTTAGCTTGAAGAACCGTTCAGTTTAGTCTTTCGTTTTGTAAAGTTTAAATTCTGTAGTATTTTTGTAAGGCCGTTCGGTCATAAACGTACCCCCTTTTCTCTCAAAACTAAACTGTAATATTGTTAATTGTGAGTATTCTATGATATGGTTTTACTCTATTCCTCAATGTTCCAGATAAAAGTTATGAAGAGAAGCTGTCTTACGACAGTTCTCATTAATAAACTCTATATTAGCTGCTTGCTATACTCAAGAAATTTGTCCTTGACTTGTAAAAAAGGGACTAAAAAAAGTCGCCAGCCATAACACATTTAAAGAGTAGAGAGAAATTAGTAGCAAAAATCCAAAGATGAATGTCTAGTAGACTGGGGATAGAGCTGAAGGTTGTAAGGAACTTGATATATTAGACACTTATAAGGCCCAATATCATCTACAGCATACAGTTAGTTTGCGCATTGTCCAACTGAAAGGCATCTAGAGGCAGCCAACTGTAAGTTGAAATATCCCATGGGAACTTCAGGCAAAGGAATTATCGAAGGGTTTGCAAAATCTAAATGAGCTACATCAACTGATGTTAGTAAGTCCACAACTGGGAAGAAGGTTATAGCACAAGCACAAAGGTATGGGGAAACCTTGTTACATGGATAAGAAAAATACAATCTCCTTTGTGGCAGGGAGAAGTACGGATGCTAAGTTTGTGGCAATCGTAAAATGTTTATGGCCATTAATTTGGATTGAGAGGCTCTACATGACCTAACACTCTCTAGAAAAGGTCTATGAAGCTATGAAGTAGCAGTGAATCAGTAACAAGCAGGGTTCACAAGCCTGTCCAGAATGATCAAACAAGCATGTCAAAGTTGATAGCAATCATATCAGATATGAAATTGTTTTATGGGTTATCAAACTATCAATATCTTCTATATCATGGAACCATGATGCATGAGGACTTACAAAGCCTGTCAACATTTGGGTTTGAATTCATATATGGTAAGCTAGAAATGATTAATATCTATTCACCAGATTGAGGTGGAATGTTGGAGAGGCTCTTGGTCATCATTGGAGGTGGTGCTTAATGCCAGTAGCTGTAAATGTTGTATGTTTATGATAATTTCTGAATTGTATCTTGATTGATGATTGCTACTTTAAAAGTAATCACCTATCTATAATTAGGGAAGCTTTAGCCTATTTCATGTAAATTAGGTATTCACAGAATAGCAAATACAATTTCTTTCTGAAGCCTCTTTGTTAACTAACTTTACAAACTCATATTTAAGTCACTAGCTATCTGTAAATTTTCTCCTAAGATTTGGGTGCCCCAATGTCATAATCACTTACAGTTTGTGTTTGTTTCTTCATCCGTCATTTAAAATTCAAAAGATTTACTAGGATTTGCAAACTAGAACAGATCCTTTAGCTAAATACATGTTTTTAAGCATCAATAGAAATATAGCCCTGACATTGAAAGAAATTTACCTTCAACAAAGTACTTGGTGATGATACACCATGAGATATTGGTCCTGACTTTCTTCCATCAAGCTCATACAGTTGACCTGCATATCATACAATTGCTGAGAAATTAATCAGATGAATATTTTGCAACTGCAAAAGGAGAACAACAAATTCAACTGGACACGAATAGGATCATACATAGATCATACATAAAGCTTTTAATATAGCTGGTTTACGATTTAGACATTTACTTTGCCTACTATAGTGGTGTTGTTGATAAAATTTTTCTTTTTATGAACATAACACAGACAAAAAAATTAATCAGTTATCAACATAAAAAATTACCATCCACACAGGCAAAGGCGATGAAATGAGTGTCCACATTATCTGATGCCTGCATTGTAATGTAAAATAGTTGTAAGACAAGAAAGGAAACAGTTAGAAAGAAACAATTTTGTTGTTGCAAGGTGGAGAGGGTTGTTATCTATATTTACAATATTATCCAGATTTTGCCTCACGGTATGACATCATTCTGATAGTTATATCTCCTAAAACCCTCGGTGAAAATTTCAAAATCATCCAACGCAGGTGCTTTAGTTTTAAGCACTATTAATGGGTCTTGCAGTTTAGATATATTTTCCATTCATTTTATTCCATCCACACACTAAATTGCATCGAAAGATGATTTAACCATTTCTTCACATATACAAAAAAAATGCTTCCTTTTGACCTATATAATTTTCACTTTTTTATCTATCAATGAAGAAACTCATCAGGATGGAAAAATATGGCCCACAATGGGGTTTAGGGAGCACAGATGTACGTAGCCTTTACCAGACAACGTAAAGGATAGTTTCCAAGATTTGTACCTGTAACCTCCACATCATAAGGAAGCAACCTTATTGTTGCACCAACATTTGCCCACAAGAAAGCCATTAAGAATACGAGGAGAAAATTACAAATAAAAATTGGAGGATACGGAACCATAACAGAAAAATGAAAAATAAAATACAAAAAAGAATCAGAAGTTGCAAAGCATCCAATCCCACCAAGTATCTGCTAAAAAAATTCCTTTAAAAAAACCATGTTACTCACACCAAATAGAAGCCAATTGACAAATTCTATCTCACTAAGCAACTAGACCAAGTAAACCCCCTTAAAAATATGATTAGGATTATTACTCTTTAATCAATTGCATCAAATATTGGCATATAATGCACATTGCAGTAAAAATAAATGTATTAGCTCCCTTTTTTGGCTCATAAAGCTAAATCCCTGTGTGTAATTCATAGAACTTAAATGAAGGAAAATCCAAGTAGGAAGCAGGGTTTGACTACAATGGGTTGGTATCTTCTCATAATTTATTTGACTAGTTTTCAAAGAAACATCTTTGTATATAACAACTTAAATTCAACATTTGTTCAAATTTCTAGTGTAAAAGCCCAAATCTAATTTCCACGACTACTCATCACAGAAGAACCTAAAAAAGGATGTTAAATAAGTCCCAGCATAAATATCAGTTTATCATATTGAAAGAATAATGATAATAACAAACAACTAAGATTTTCAAGATAATAAATCTAATTCCCAAGACTACTCATTATAAAAAAACCTACAAATTAAAACTGTGTTATGTAAAAGTCCCAACTTTGGTATCTATTTATCATTGCCAAAGAATAATGATAACATCAAATAACTAGAATATAAGAAGGCCAAACTGAATCTCTCCTCATTACTACATCAGTTATCTGTTTCACCTCTACATCAGATCATACCGCCCCAATTATTGTTGCTTTAAATTTAACAAATAAAGTACCACTGTGTCGCCAGCAGTGGCTGCTACTGAATGAGCAACTTCCATCTCCCTGTCATTCTCGAGAAAGGCAGCCCGCTGCACGGAAGTTAGAAAATACCAAATAGCATTATTAGTGTCATTTGTTTGCATTTATGAAATATGAGAAACACAGATAAGTTTTGGGTTGGAAGAAATAAAATACCTGCAATGGATCCATGCTGGCAGTAGATTTAAAGAACTTGTCAAAAAAGGACCCCTCAACTGATATCAACAAGAGCAACANATGAAGAGAAGCTGTCTTACGACAGTTCTCATTAATAAACTCTATATTAGCTGCTTGCTATACTCAAGAAATTTGTCCTTGACTTGTAAAAAAGGGACTAAAAAAAGTCGCCAGCCATAACACATTTAAAGAGTAGAGAGAAATTAGTAGCAAAAATCCAAAGATGAATGTCTAGTAGACTGGGGATAGAGCTGAAGGTTGTAAGGAACTTGATATATTAGACACTTATAAGGCCCAATATCATCTACAGCATACAGTTAGTTTGCGCATTGTCCAACTGAAAGGCATCTAGAGGCAGCCAACTGTAAATTGAAATATCCCATGGGAACTTCAGGCAAAGGAATTATCGAAGGGTTTGCAAAATCTAAATGAGCTACATCAACTGATGTTAGTAAGTCCACAACTGGGAAGAAGGTTATAGCACAAGCACAAAGGTATGGGGAAACCTTGTTACATGGATAAGAAAAATACAATCTCCTTTGTGGCAGGGAGAAGTACGGATGCTAAGTTTGTGGCAATCGTAAAATGTTTATGGCCATTAATTTGGATTGAGAGGCTCTACATGACCTAACACTCTCTAGAAAAGGTCTATGAAGCTATGAAGTAGCAGTGAATCAGTAACAAGCAGGGTTCACAAGCCTGTCCAGAATGATCAAACAAGCATGTCAAAGTTGATAGCAATCATATCAGATATGAAATTGTTTTATGGGTTATCAAACTATCAATATCTTCTATATCATGGAACCATGATGCATGAGGACTTACAAAGCCTGTCAACATTTGGGTTTGAATTCATATATGGTAAGCTAGAAATGATTAATATCTATTCACCAGATTGAGGTGGAATGTTGGAGAGGCTCTTGGTCATCATTGGAGGTGGTGCTTAATGCCAGTAGCTGTAAATGTTGTATGTTTATGATAATTTCTGAATTGTATCTTGATTGATGATTGCTACTTTAAAAGTAATCACCTATCTATAATTAGGGAAGCTTTAGCCTATTTCATGTAAATTAGGTATTCACAGAATAGCAAATACAATTTCTTTCTGAAGCCTCTTTGTTAACTAACTTTACAAACTCATATTTAAGTCACTAGCTATCTGTAAATTTTCTCCTAAGATTTGGGTGCCCCAATGTCATAATCACTTACAGTTTGTGTTTGTTTCTTCATCCGTCATTTAAAATTCAAAAGATTTACTAGGATTTGCAAACTAGAACAGATCCTTTAGCTAAATACATGTTTTTAAGCATCAATAGAAATATAGCCCTGACATTGAAAGAAATTTACCTTCAACAAAGTACTTGGTGATGATACACCATGAGATATTGGTCCTGACTTTCTTCCATCAAGCTCATACAGTTGACCTGCATATCATACAATTGCTGAGAAATTAATCAGATGAATATTTTGCAACTGCAAAAGGAGAACAACAAATTCAACTGGACACGAATAGGATCATACATAGATCATACATAAAGCTTTTAATATAGCTGGTTTACGATTTAGACATTTACTTTGCCTACTATAGTGGTGTTGTTGATAAAATTTTTCTTTTTATGAACATAACACAGACAAAAAAATTAATCAGTTATCAACATAAAAAATTACCATCCACACAGGCAAAGGCGATGAAATGAGTGTCCACATTATCTGATGCCTGCATTAGAAGAAAAAACGTTGTAAGACAAGAAAGTAAACAGTTAGAAAAAAACAATTATGTTATTGCAAGGCAGAGAGGGTTGTTATCTATATTTACAATATTATCCAGATTTTGCCTCACGGTATGACATCATTCTGATAGTTATATCTCCTAAAACCCTCGGTGAAAATTTCAAAATCATCCAACGCAGGTGCTTTAGTTTTAAGCACTATTAATGGGTCTTGCAGTTTAGATATATTTTCCATTCATTTTATTCCATCCACACACTAAATTGCATCGAAAGATGATTTAACCATTTCTTCACATATACAAAAAAAATGCTTCCTTTTGACCTATATAATTTTCACTTTTTTATCTATCAATGAAGAAACTCATCAGGATGGAAAAATATGGCCCACAATGGGGTTTAGGGAGCACAGATGTACGTAGCCTTTACCAGACAACGTAAAGGATAGTTTCCAAGATTTGTACCTGTAACCTCCACATCATAAGGAAGCAACCTTATTGTTGCACCAACATTTGCCCACAAGAAAGCCATTAAGAATACGAGGAGAAAATTACAAATAAAAATTGGAGGATACGGAACCATAACAGAAAAATGAAAAATAAAATACAAAAAAGAATCAGAAGTTGCAAAGCATCCAATCCCACCAAGTATCTGCTAAAAAAATTCCTTTAAAAAAACCATGTTACTCACACCAAATAGAAGCCAATTGACAAATTCTATCTCACTAAGCAACTAGACCAAGTAAACCCCCTTAAAAATATGATTAGGATTATTACTCTTTAATCAATTGCATCAAATATTGGCATATAATGCACATTGCAGTAAAAATAAATGTATTAGCTCCCTTTTTTGGCTCATAAAGCTAAATCCCTGTGTGTAATTCATAGAACTTAAATGAAGGAAAATCCAAGTAGGAAGCAGGGTTTGACTACAATGGGTTGGTATCTTCTCATAATTTATTTGACTAGTTTTCAAAGAAACATCTTTGTATATAACAACTTAAATTCAACATTTGTTCAAATTTCTAGTGTAAAAGCCCAAATCTAATTTCCACGACTACTCATCACAGAAGAACCTAAAAAAGGATGTTAAATAAGTCCCAGCATAAATATCAGTTTATCATATTGAAAGAATAATGATAATAACAAACAACTAAGATTTTCAAGATAATAAATCTAATTCCCAAGACTACTCATTATAAAAAAACCTACAAATTAAAACTGTGTTATGTAAAAGTCCCAACTTTGGTATCTATTTATCATTGCCAAAGAATAATGATAACATCAAATAACTAGAATATAAGAAGGCCAAACTGAATCTCTCCTCATTACTACATCAATTATCTGTTTCACCTCTACATCAGATCATACCGCCCCAATTATTGTTGCTTTAAATTTAACAAATAAAGTACCACTGTGTCGCCAGCAGTGGCTGCTACTGAATGAGCAACTTCCATCTCCCTGTCATTCTCGAGAAAGGCAGCCCGCTGCACGGAAGTTAGAAAATACCAAATAGCATTATTAGTGTCATTTGTTTGCATTTATGAAATATGAGAAACACAGATAAGTTTTGGGTTGGAAGAAATAAAATACCTGCAATGGATCCATGCTGGCAGTAGATTTAAAGAACTTGTCAAAAAAGGACCCCTCAACTGATAACAACAAGAGCAACACAAACTAATTAGATATAATGGTTGATACACTATAAACTTAAACCGAGGCTGTGATTGTTAAAAGCCTACCAAGCTTGACTTCAGAAGTTATGTTCCCAAGTGCATGAAGCAGACCTATCGTACCACAAGCATTACCCACGGTTTGCTTCATAAAGTACACTTTACTGCTATAATCCTACAGCAGAACAACAACAAAAAAAACTCTACTCAATGCAGGTGCTTCATAGATAGACACGCAGTTAAAAATTCAATTATATGATATATGCTACCTAAAATTAAGATTTATTGGACACTATTTAATAAAATAACCAATTAAGCTTGAAAGACGATCTATAATTAATAATACCCTACAGTCCAAACAAAATGCGGAATGCTTTGAATCAGGGAAAACGAACAGTCACAGACAGATGAAAAGACTCCATAAATAGACAAATCCACTCAGGCACTCACCTTTTTTTCATTTTCCTGTTGCAACCTTTCTTCTTCAGTCTTATAAAAGGAAATAAAAAAACTCACAAAATCAGAAACAACAGATATGAAAATGACTTGACAGTAGAAATAAAAATTGGAAAAAGAAAAACTCACATGTTTCGTGAGTTGAAACTAACCTTTGCGGTAATGGGATAAAGAAAAAGCACAGCAAGAACTGGCTTCGGAACCATTTCCAGAAGCTCTTCATCCAAGCCAAAAACATCACAACACTCTGCCTCTTCCATTGGAAGGCCAAGACCCCAGAGGAACTGTAATTCATCCAAGAAAACACTTAAATTATGCACGCTACCAAATAGAATATAAAATTGTAAATCCAAAATGAAAGCGAGAAATTGTTTGGCAAAATTAGTTATATGCGTAACTGTTCCATGAACAAACGATCATAATTGAAGGCATGATTGAAACATTTCGCTCAATGATAAGGAAATAGGATGAGAGAGAATGCCTGGTTCATGACATCTGGGTTAGCTTCAAGAGGAAGCCACCTTTTCGCAGATGGGCGTTCGTCTAAGGTGGCCATTCTAATTTCTTTCTTTCTAGTTTCTTTATGTTATTCTCTACTTCTGACTCACTCTTAAACATTCAGAAGAACTGAGATTACTATATATGATTGAACTTGTGGGCCGTATTGGGCCTTTACTAAGTGCACAGTTTTAACAAGTAAATCTGTAACACAAAATCCATGATATTCACACCTCCTGCTTTATAATCGCACCATTTTATTTTTTCTGTTTAGTTTTTTTGTTTTATTAAAAAGTATCTTTGCGTAGCCCTTGGCTTCCAATTATTAATAAATGAACAATGAGTTAACTGTTTTGTATTATTAGTTGAATGTTATGAAAATTTGGGATATTTTAATATATAATATGTCTAAATTTCTCATATCCCAAATAACTTATTAAGTTGTAAAGATTCAAATCAATTACTCACTTTTATAATAAAGCACCTTCCTTTATTTTATTTATAAAGGGTCTAGATACTAATATAAACCTGGGGGTGCAGGAAGCATTTGTTCTTTTTGCTTTACATTATAGTTTAACATTTTGAATTGTTTTTCCTAGTGTCTTAATTTATTCGTGTTTATGATGGATTAGGGAAAAAATTGATGAGAAACATAATGTGATAGGTGATGATTATTGAAAACTAAATATTAAACAGAATAATTAATTATTCATTAAAAATCAAGAAATATTTTTATGACGCATTGATATAAAATTAGTCTTTTATTCGATAACCATGAAAGAATCTTGCATAAATAAATAATAAAATAGAGAATTAAAAAAATAGTAATATTTTAATCATTTGAACCAAGCTAATAAAATGGTTTGAAAAATGAATAAAAATATTGATACCAACTTAATTTCTCCCTCAAATAAATAATAAATTCCCTACCGGATTAATTTTGTCTATTTCTATTTGGGTGACTATTTATGAATTATAAATGGACATTGTATTGTCCGAAACAGAGCAAATGAGTGGTGTTTAAAATTGATTAAACAGAAACAATTTCATAAATATTTACAATATTTAACTTTTATCTGTGAGTAATTACGTTAATATATTTACTATCCTTATGTGAATAAATTGGTTTGAAAAGACTTTGAAAAAAAGGAGTCTGAAGAATGGATGACTTCAATCGGCTTATACGAAAATCAACAGTACTCTTTTGTTTATATATATATATATATATATATATATANGAAATAAAAAAACTCACAAAATCAGAAACAACAGATATGAAAATGACTTGACAGTAGAAATAAAAATTGGAAAAAGAAAAACTCACATGTTTCGTGAGTTGAAACTAACCTTTGCGGTAATGGGATAAAGAAAAAGCACAGCAAGAACTGGCTTCGGAACCATTTCCAGAAGCTCTTCATCCAAGCCAAAAACATCACAACACTCTGCCTCTTCCATTGGAAGGCCAAGACCCCAGAGGAACTGTAATTCATCCAAGAAAACACTTAAATTATGCACGCTACCAAATAGAATATAAAATTGTAAATCCAAAATGAAAGCGAGAAATTGTTTGGCAAAATTAGTTATATGCGTAACTGTTCCATGAACAAACGATCATAATTGAAGGCATGATTGAAACATTTCGCTCAATGATAAGGAAATAGGATGAGAGAGAATGCCTGGTTCATGACATCTGGGTTAGCTTCAAGAGGAAGCCACCTTTTCGCAGATGGGCGTTCGTCTAAGGTGGCCATTCTAATTTCTTTCTTTCTAGTTTCTTTATGTTATTCTCTACTTCTGACTCACTCTTAAACATTCAGAAGAACTGAGATTACTATATATGATTGAACTTGTGGGCCGTATTGGGCCTTTACTAAGTGCACAGTTTTAGCAAGTCAATCTGTAACACAAAATCCATGATATTCACACCTCCTGCTTTATAATCGCACCATTTTATTTTTTCTGTTTAGTTTTTTTGTTTTATTAAAAAGTATCTTTGCGTAGCCCTTGGCTTCCAATTATTAATAAATGAACAATGAGTTAACTGTTTTGTATTATTAGTTGAATGTTATGAAAATTTGGGATATTTTAATATATAATATGTCTAAATTTCTCATATCCCAAATAACTTATTAAGTTGTAAAGATTCAAATCAATTACTCACTTTTATAATAAAGCACCTTCCTTTATTTTATTTATAAAGGGTCTAGATACTAATATAAACCTGGGGGTGCAGGAAGCATTTGTTCTTTTTGCTTTACATTATAGTTTAACATTTTGAATTGTTTTTCCTAGTGTCTTAATTTATTCGTGTTTATGATGGATTAGGGAAAAAATTGATGAGAAACATAATGTGATAGGTGATGATTATTGAAAACTAAATATTAAACAGAATAATTAATTATTCATTAAAAATCAAGAAATATTTTTATGACGCATTGATATAAAATTAGTCTTTTATTCGATAACCATGAAAGAATCTTGCATAAATAAATAATAAAATAGAGAATTAAAAAAATAGTAATATTTTAATCATTTGAACCAAGCTAATAAAATGGTTTGAAAAATGAATAAAAATATTGATACCAACTTAATTTCTCCCTCAAATAAATAATAAATTCCCTACCGGATTAATTTTGTCTATTTCTATTTGGGTGACTATTTATGAATTATAAATGGACATTGTATTGTCCGAAACAGAGCAAATGAGTGGTGTTTAAAATTGATTAAACAGAAACAATTTCATAAATATTTACAATATTTAACTTTTATCTGTGAGTAATTACGTTAATATATTTACTATCCTTATGTGAATAAATTGGTTTGAAAAGACTTTGAAAAAAAGGAGTCTGAAGAATGGATGACTTCAATCGGCTTATACGAAAATCAACAGTACTCTTTTGTTTATATATATATATATATATATATATATATATATTACAAGAAAAGAAAGTATGAAGGTGCAGAGAGAAAAAAAAAATCCTAAAAACACATTGAGAAAGAAATTGTAAAATCAACATTATCATGTCAAAACGCTTACATGAATTTAGAAGGCATTGACTAATTTTTTAAATTTATGTCATAATTTTATTTCTTTTATTCAATTAACATAAATAAGAGAGAAAGTAAGAACATAGAAAATAGAGTATTAAAATTAATAAGTATTTTAAAATAATTAAATCGAATATTTTAATATTAAATTAATTTAATAATATAAATAAAATTTTATAAAATATGTTTCATTATTTAAAACACTTTCTATCTCACTAAAATTTTGTTTTTTGAGTTTCCTTCTCTTCTTTCTAAAACTTTTAACTTTGAACTCATCTATTTGACGATAGGAAATGTCTAGAAGATTACGGCGGTGAATTCTCCATTCTCTACTAATCGATTTTCTTGATAAAACAAGTAAGTTTATGTTCATTTTTCTTTACTTATTAGTTTAAGACACACATAACTATAATCTCTCACATGTGTCATCTACTCTCTTTTTCTAGCTCTTTGTCGACCAATAATCCTAAGGACTTATTTTGATCACGATTCTTTGGTTTGTAGGTGTTTTTAGAGTTTCCTCAGTTGAGATAAAGATAGAGCGCTGAGTAGAGTTGTGGTAGTTTTCCCGATCGGGTATGGGAAGTTAGTGATCTTTCTTTGGTTTATTTTTATTTGATATGTATGATTGGTGGTTGTTAGTTTGTTATATTAACTTAGTTGAAATTGGACTGTTTGTTTTAATGTTAATTGTGATTTGAATAAGTGTAATTAACTATTTGATGCTTGATACCTTGGATGATGTTATTTTAGACTTGATTAATCATGTGAGTGTTATTGTGGTGTAGTTTAAAGGTATACAATTAAGGTGTTGTTGAGAAATGGAAATTAGGTCGAGTTATAGGTAGTTTTTGGTCTAAAAATGAGGTGTTAATAGGTGAGATTTTGAAGTAAAGGTTAAATGGGTGGAACGTAGAACTAAGATTTTGGGTCTATTATAGGGTCATTTAAAATTGTTTGAGATTTCAAATAGGAAAAATATGATGTAGAAATGGGTGGTAGCTAATAGGGTGTGTTTTGTATGATTTTTGGTTCATTTTAGTGGTTTTGGCAAGTGAAATTTTAATATAGTAGTTATGTGTTGAAGTAGAAGTGAGTTTGTTGGGTCATTTCTAACTAGTTTAGACCCCTAGGTTGTTTATTTATGTATTAGAAAGTGTAAAAGTGAGTTTAGGTAATTTGGAGTAGTCAAGTTGGTTTAGTGTATCTAATTTGAGTTATAAACTTGTTTTTAAATCATTCACGGTTTCTAGGATGCCTTTTCAATCATTTAGATAAGTATGGGGAACAACTAAGGTCAAATTAGAGGTCTTTACTCTTCTGGTGTGGGGCTCAACGACAGCTAGCGAAGTTTGAACACTAGAAAACCGAGAGGTTTAATGCTCACCTATAGGGAGTGAAGCTCAGGCGCTAGGTTTGCACGAAAAATGAAGCTCATCAGCAAGGATGTGCCATTCAGGGCCAGTGTCTTTGGTTTTCTCTCTTTTTTGTTTCATGTTTTTGGTTTTTGTGATTTATCTTAGGCATTGATTGGTATAATATGACATGTTTAATTTGTTTATGAAATGTTATTAAGGATTATGAATGAGGTTAAGGTATGTATTAAGGTGCGATTGAACAAGAGTTTCTAAGGAGAAATTATAAGTGATTGTTTCAAGTTGTGCATAAATGTAGGAAGCTCAGTTTTTGGGTTATCTTGACACTTTAATGATCATTCATTAGTGATGTCTCTGGTGAGAGTAACAAGAGGTTCTAGTAACAAGAGGTTCTAGTATAGGTGCTCCATTATGGCTTAAGACGCGAAACAGACTAACATTGTGTGTGTGATATGGTGAAATCCATTGCCAATGATTATGCTGAAAAGTAGAGGCCACCACAAATGCATGACTCGCCATAGTTCGACATTCATACTTTATCTGGATTGTCAAGTATATGTTTATGATATGCTTACGATGTTTGTTTAATTTTGTATGAGATGAGTTGTACGATGAATCTTAATATTCAATGTTTGCTTCTTTTTACATTAGTTTACCCTTTGTGTGTTTCTTTGTTTTTGAATGAATGGTCTGAGCAGAAAGTGATGACGTCTTGGTTGGTTGAACAGGCTTTGGGAAGTAATGGATTAGATATATATATCTATATAGCTGAATTAGAGTAGATGATGTTGTATAGATGTATTTTGAGAAATCTTATGTAAACATTTAGGTTCCTTATATTTGATATGGTAAATATATACACTTATAACTGTGTTAGATAATGGATATTTTTTTTTTGGAATTTAACTATTTTATTTTATTGATTTAGTGATGGTTTCTTAATAGTATTTATACTATTCTAATGAAATGTTTGAGAAACAACAGTGAAATAATGTTTTTTTAAGAATAATTTAGGTGATGAAAGATTTGAAGTAATATTTACAATATCATAAATAACCGAATTTAAATTTATCATAAATTAAAAAAATTCTTAATAATTTTTTGTAAATATACTTAATCAATTTTGTTTTTTAATTAAGTTTTTTTCTTTAAATCTTTTTTATTAATTAAGTGATGTTCCTGATAACTAGGTTACTTCATTGTTATTTTGTCTTCTCTGAATAGTTCTTACATATTATTTTATTTTATTTTTTATAATTTTATAATTATTTATTTTGTAATTTATGATTATATAATTTTAAAATATTATAACTTCATAATTTATAAATTTCTAACTTTATAATTTTTTGTAATTTATAATTTTATAATTGTATAATTTTATAATTTCGGAACTTTATAATTTTATAATTATATAATTTTATAAATTTTTTAATTTCATAATTTTATATTTCTATAATTTTATAATGTTATAATTTGTTAATTTTATAGTTCTATAATTTTATAATTCTATTGTTCTATAATTTTATGATTTTATAGCTTTGTAGCTTTATAATTCTATAATTTTATAATTTTATTATTTAAAATTTTTAATATTTTATAATTTTATAGTTTGTAATTTCATATTTTTTTTAATTTTATATTTTTTTAATTTAACAATTTATATAATTATAAATTATTAAATTATAAAACTTCAACCTTATAAATTTTAGAATTTTAAAATTATAAGCTCATAAATTATAATTTATAACATTTTAAAATAATAAAATAACTGTTAACAAAGTGACATGTTAACAATCACATTATGTAACAGAAAAATTTAACAAAGACTCAATTGAAAAAAAATAAATTTATCGGTAGTTGACAGATAGAAAAATTTATTAAATCTAAATAATTTATACAGAGTTTGGCTACCCATTATTAATGAATTCAAAACAAATTAAACTAACAAATATATCTTCTTCGTTTTCTTGAGTAACTACACTTAATTTGACACATTCACACCATATTTCCAAACTCACTATTAATTTGTTAGTATGGAATTTCAAGAGTTGCGCTACCTGGAATTTTGAAATATATTTGTTCAGAATTGTGTAGTCCAAGAAATTTTTAATATATTTTAGAAAACATTTCCAAAAAACATATTAAAACTTCAAAGAATCATTTTCGTCATCACTTATTCAGGATCTAGTTATAATTTTTATTTTTTCTAGAATGACTCTCAAATGTGTACTCGAAAAACTTGTTTAATATATTTGCATGCAACGAACGAAGTGCAGAACATGATTATATAGATGTACTAAAAGAAAAAGCCTCTTAAATGATGCAGGTTGATCCACCGATTCTTTTGTAGGGCTGGAACAACAATGTGTGAAGCATCTTATTTTAAAATTTGGACAGTTTCACCAGCATCTCCATCCATTTCATTTTACACTTTCAATTTTTTAAAATAACTTTAAAAGTTATATTTTTCTTCATCCAATTTATCTTCATTAGATTTTAAAATTCTAACGGAAAATTTTAACATATTTCAAGATCCAATAAAAAAGAATAAAATTCTTTTATTTCAAAATCCGATAAAACCTTGAAAACTCTTTCACCGAATTTCAAAAATTTCAAAATTTGATAAAGTTTTTTTTTATCGAATTTCAATATTAAGTACAAAAAATGAGGTGTATGATTTTTTGTTTTACTATTTTGAGATTTAAAAAAAAAAGAATTGAAAGTGCAGGGTAAAATAATTAGAGGTGCGGATGAAACAATCTAAAATTTGGTCTCAACATTTTTGTCCCTTATTTTAAAAAAAAAAAAAACTGAAAAATCTAATCGCCAGTAAAAACAGAGCTTCAAGGTCAAAGTTTGTTTAAGATCAAATTTACTAGCACTGCATCATCTATTTGAAACGAAAGATGCTCAACTTGATAGGCCTCCAAATGAAAATAAAAAAACGTAAATAAAGTTAAAGTGAATAAAACTGCAGATGACTGAAGATTATAAAGCAGATGACATCAAAAGCTGCTTCACCCAAATTAACTACCTTAATGATCTCCGGATTTCTTTGATATTGCAATGACATTGAAATTGAGGGAATCTGGATTTTTCTGGATCATGCTCTGGATCACTTTAGCTACATCCTGTCGTAAATTTATATACATATTACTAACTAAAAATAGTGTAGTAGAGAAAAAAGCATGCAAGATGAAAGATAGTAAACCCAGTAGCTTCAGAAATGATCAAATAACTAGGATCTCCAAGGGTTGAAAATGGGTTTCAGCCCTCCCAAATGTACTCATTATAGTAAAAACACCCAAATCCTATATTCATAGTGTTTGCCACAGTATAAATAGGTGCCAGAAATAACATTCACAAGCTGCTAGTCTGGACTTTAACTGCACAAAATCTCCTCTATAAGACAATTCTTTCTCAATTAATACATGACAATGGTACAGATAAAATGTATCCCACCGCTTTGAGAAATATGGCAGCAGGCTGGCAGCTATTGGCATTGCTAGGAAGAAAAAAGGACATTCTTATCGTTCCCCCTTGATTATTCTGCCTCGCTATGTACCTTGTCACACATAGTTGTTTCTAAAGTTTTCGAATACCAAAGTCTGAACCAAAGTCTTTCTATAATATATTTGAAAATGGCCTTGTCACAAGTACAGGAACTTTTCTATAATGAAATGATACTGGAGCTCTGTGTTTTGCCATGGCATGAAACACCAGATTTTCTACTAAACAAATATCCAAATTATTGTGGTTACTTAACTATATCCCATAGGCAGCCGGTTGATCGACATCCAGTAGTAGTTGTGTATATAGCCGACATACACACTAAAAAAGAGAATGTAAAAAAGATGATTACGACTAACTAATTGTTTACATCCTTATTTTAATACTCTAGGCACACAATAATCTTGGCTGTGTATTTCAAACACGTGGATTACATCATTATCTTGTTTCTCTCTTCTCTTGACATGGTATCAACGCAAGGAATTAGTGAAGGAACTTACATTTTTAAGAGAACGAATGATACAACACTAACCTGGAGTTGCTGACCGTTTTGTAGATGATGTGCTGTTCTTACTACTTGTATCTTATCAACAAGATGCTTTATTCTGTTATAGACAAAAATACTTCTATTTTACTTTCCTACTGGTCACTCCACCCAGTCCCCTTTTAGTTATTTGTTTAACATATTTGATATATAACCTTGATCCTAGGCTTGATAAACTCTTATATCACTCTCACGTGAGTTGTACCTTGGCTATATTTGGGCTTGAATGGGTTATAAATATTACTCCTCAACCCTTTATCAGTTTGCAGTTATCTGGTCTGAGTGTGTTCCTTTATTAGCTTCCACGTCATCTGATTGAGTCTATCTCAACTACCTTAACACTTTGAGGAGTGCATTAATGAGAAAGATCTTAATCAGTTTTAAATAAATAAAATGCTTGAGTACATACTCAGCCCAAATCAGTCAAGGCCCAAAGCCGTTTTTAAATAAAGAGGCTTACTTTCAAACATAAAGTTTGGATTGCCTCGGCCCGAGCCAAGTTCGGTTAATATAATTAGTTATTATTATCTTTCTGTTATATTGTTATTATTTCATCATCTTATTATCATATATAAATCATTAACATAACTGATAGGTCTATTGAATCCTATACATGTATGTACTCTACAACATGAAAAAGGACAATTTTACTCAGCATTAAATACTTTATACACTTATACGATCCATACTCTCTTACAGACTAAAGCATCAGATAGTTTTGTTGGTGGATCTCGCTTCTAGTCTCTTTTAAAGCTTGGCCCCTTTTCACTGAATCAGCCAACTGCCCAATCTCCAGAGATTGTTGACTTACCTCGAAGATTATCGCTAGAGCCCAAGAACATCATGTTTATAGAATAAAATTTACTCTCATTGTGTTTTCTTTTATTTGTAAAATAGGTGTAAATATTAACTTTTGTATATGTGTCTATTGAGCCCAATAAGGCTAGGGGCTTTGAGCATTGGAAGACAAAGAAACAAGGAACAATTTGAAGTCAACCAACCCCAATTGTAGCCCACCAAATTCTTGGCCAAGAGGGAAAGATAATTCAAGGAAAAGACTAGGATTGGCAAGTGTGATTCAAACATGGACCTCACCTTTCGAATTTTGAAAATTAAATTTTCCCTCCGTTGCTTCGTTAAATTTTGACCAACACATTAGGATATTAGATTTAGAATTTGCATTTGATTTCAAGGTACATTTGAGTTACATTTAGCTTAGAATTTTGTAATAAAAAAAAAGAAGCTATAAATAGCCATCACTTATCTTTGTAAACAATTTCTGAATAATGAATCAATTGAGAGCTTTTAGAGTTCTTTAAAAGAGAGAAAGTTATCTTCTTATTTGAGTCTTATCTTGCATCCTTGGATCAAGTAACAACATCATCATCATTTATCTTGTATCTTCTCTAGGTGCTGTGACAACCCCATCAGTCTATAAGTTTTCCTTTTCCATTCTTTTCAATGCCGAATTGGCTTCTTCATTCCATCTCCATAGTTTGTACTTATCTTGTTCTATGTTCATGTTCTTTCCTTCGATGCAAACTTTCACACTTATATAATCCTATTGGATTAAATTCATATACAACGAAGAGCATCCTCGAGTTTCATCTTCATTATTAAATCCTAAAAGATAAACAAGTCAAATTCTTAAAACTCTTTTCAAGCTAGTATAAGGAGACTCATATCACACTTCCTCCTATCTTTGTTAACTTTCTCCAACCAAAGATGTCCCACTTTTAGATGATCCACCTTCTCTACACGTTCTATGGTATTATCATCATTAGAGTTGTTAAGAAAAACAGAACTAGTGCCAAACTGTGTTAAGAAACCTTAACTATTCTTTAAAAATAATTGAATTCAGTTTTCTAATATAGTCTTTAAAAACCAGAATGCCCTTAAACTGAGCTGCTTCAATTGAATTAAACTATAACTTATAAAATTGAAAAAGAGTGAAATACATGCTTCAAAATAAGATGTCCACTGCGGATAGTTCAAACAGATCAGTCAATTCAAAGCAATTCCATTTGTTTGAATTGTTAAATGGTTCAATTCAGTTCGCCTTTGCCATCACGAGGTTTGGTTTAATTTGGGCAAATTGCCTTTACAATTTAATTCAATTCTATAACAGTTCAGTTTGTTTATCACTTCATCTATTTTGCACACCCCTAATCATTTGGCAAGCTTCTAGCCTTTTTACCATCAGTCACTAATGGTGAGTTCAAGTAATCTCCTCTAGAGCCAAACTCATTCACCTATCTGCCTTATAAGATTGACCTCCCATTTGCTTTTTAAAAAGGGTTTCGCTTAATTCAATCTTTCTCCTCATTATGTTACTTAGGTTATCATCAGATGCTTGTTTTGCATTATACTTGTCTTTCTTCCCTAACCGGTTCCTATTTTTATACCACTCTTGTTGTCAATAAACTAGGATTGATGTGAATGTGTACGCTATAGTCACCAAGAGTTGATTAGTTTATTCTACAAAATTAAATGACATCACACAAACAAAACAATCTGGCTTTCCAAATTTATGGAAAAAGAGCATATGTTCAATTTCTAGCAAGACCGAAATAGGGTCATACACAAAATCAAAGGTTACTAGGAAAAAAAACTTTTCCCCATGCATCTAATTGTTTTAACATAAAAATGGAAGAAATGATACAAGGAAAGAAATTTAGGAGTATTTTTTGTTTAGTGATGTTACAAATTTTATATGGTCTACACATTAAAAAGCGGTTCTTTCCCACTTTGGCAGAAAAGGAAAGAATGGGAGCTTGAAATGTAAACGAAACTAATACCCTTATTTATATCACAATACATCACTTTTTTTATTTAGAGTATTTGTCCTTTTGCACACATTTTTCCTCTTGCATTTTTCTCCCCTACCAACCAACCTATAAATTCATCACAGTTCCTTCTACCTTTTGTTCCTTCCATTTTGTGGATGTTACAAGAGAGAAGAAAATGGGTTATATCTAATCTTCCCTGCTAGACCAGATACAACTTCTCCAAGTTGTGTACTAACTAGTTATCGGTTAGTACTCGAAACAAGTCATATAGAAAAAAATAGGGCATGAAAATCGATGGTGGGCACTACTACAATGTGGCCATTGTCAAAAGACATTTTTGAAATGTGGAGCTAGAGAATTCTTCTTCACCAAAGCTCTTGCATCTACACCCTTCAACAAAACGTGGTTACAGAAAGCAAGAACGGACACCTTTTAGAGGTATCCCATTCCTTAATGTTCCAGATAAATATTATGGAGAGGCTGTCTTACATTCTAATGAACCACTGGATCCTTGTACTCCTATATCAGCTGCTTGCTATACTCAAGAAATATGTCCTTGACTTGTCCAAAAAGGGACTACAAAAAGTGGCTAGCCATTACTCATTTAGAGAGTAGAGAGAAATTAGTGGGAAAGTCCAAAGGTTGAATGCCTAGTAGACTGGGAATAGAGCTGAAAGTTGTAGGGAACTTGATATATTAGACACTTACAAAGCCCAATATTATCTACTGCATACAGTGAGTTTGTGCATTTTCCAACTGAAAGGCATCTAGAGGCAGCAACTATATATTGAAATATCCCATGGGAACTCTAGTCAAAGGAATTATTGAAGTGTTTGCAAATTCTAATTGGGCTAGACCTAGATCAACTGAAGTTAGTAAACAACTGGGAATAGGCTATAGAACAAGCACAAAGGCATGGGGAAACCTTGTTACAAGGATAACCAAAATGCAATCTCCATTGTGGTAGGGAGAAGTATGGATGCTACGTTTGTGGCAATCATAAAATGTTTATGACATTGATTTGGATTGAGAGGCTCTACAAGACCTAAAATTCTGTAGAAAAGGTCTATGGAGCTATGTAGTAACAGTGAATTAGCACAAGCATGGTTTGCAAGCTTGCTAGCGTGATCAAACAAGCATGTCAAAATTGAAGCAATCATATCAGATGTGAAATTGTTTTTATGGGGACTTACCAAAGCCTGTCAACATTTAGGTTTGAATTCGTATTTGGTAAGCTAGGAATGATTAACATCTATTCACCAGGTTGAGGGGCAATGTTGCAGAGGATCTTGGTCATCATAGGAGGTGGCACTAAATGCCAGTAGCTGTAAATGTTGTATGTTTATGGTAATTTCTGAATTGTATCCTGATTGATGTTTGCAACTTTAAAAACAATCTCCTATGTATAATTTGCGTAGCTTTAGCCTATTTCGTGTAAAATAGGTATTCCCAAAATAGCAAATACGATTTCTTTCTGAAGCCTCTTTGTTCACTAACTTTACAAACTCAAATTTAAATCACTAGCTATCTGTAAATTTTCTCATAAGAGGTGGGTGCTCCAAATGCCAGAGCCACTTACCTATAATTTGCTTGTTTCTTCATCCATCATTTAAAATTCAAAGTAACAACAGAATTACTAGAATTTGCAAACTAAATCAGTTCCTTTCGCTAAATACTTGTTTTTAAGCATCAATAAAAGTATAGTCCTAACATCGAAAGAAATTTACCCTCAATAAAGTACTTGGTGATGATACACCATGAGATATTGGTCCTGACTTTCTTCCATCAAGCTCATACAGTTGACCTGCATATCATACAATTGCCGAGAAATTAATCAAATGAATTTTTTGCAACTACTAAAGGAGAACAAAGTCAACTAGACATGAATAGGATCATGGATAGTTTAGTTATAGCCTTTAAATATAGCTGGTTTATGATTTCGACATTTAGTTTGCCTACTATAGTGGTGTTGTCGATACGATCACATCTTGGTATATTGTTTTGCTCTTTTTATGAACACAACACAGACAAAAAATTACAGTAGAAGAACAATGTAGCAGAAGAACAGAAAGGAAAACAGAAATTGCAGAGAGAGAAGATTCCAACACGTCCACCCTCTTCTCTCTCCCTAACGGCCTGATATATTATTCCCCCAGCCAATAGTAATCCTTCAACTTGGAACTAGTTATCTTGGGCCCTGAGCCTCTCCTGATACCCACCCCTACGTCTTTCTCATCCTCCTTTCTAGGTAATGACTCCTTTGCTCTTTGCAGTTTTGTTACACTATAGTGGTGTTGTTGATACAATCACATCTTGGTATATTGTTTTGCTCTTTTTATGAAGACAACACAGACACAAAATATTACTCAGTTATCTATATAAAGAAATTACCTTCTACACAGGCAAAGCAGATGAAATGAGGGTCCTCATTATCTGATGCCTGCATTAGAAGAAAAAACGTTGTAAGACAAGAAAGTAAACAGTTAGAAAAAAACAATTATGTTATTGCAAGGCAGAGAGGGTTGTTATCTATATTTACAATACTATCCATGTTTTGCCTCATGGTATGACAGCATTCTGATAGTTATATCTCCTAAAACCTCAGTAAAAATTGCAAAATCATCCAACACAAGAGCTATTAGTATTAAACACTTCATATTGATGGGTCTTGCTGTTCAGGATATAGTTTCCATTCCTTTTGTTCTATCCACACACAAAAATTGCATGGAAAGATGATTTAAGCATTTCTTCACATATTCAATAAAAATGCTTCCCTTTGACTTATATATGGCCCACTACATTACACTTCCCCATAATGGGGTTTGGGGAGCAAAGTTAAAGGATAGATTCCAAATTTTGAACCCATAACCTCTACATCATAAGGTTACCTTACTGTTGCACCAGCATTTGCCCACAAGAAAGTCATTAAGAATAAGAGAAGAAAATTACAAAGAAATTTAGAGGATGCGGGACCAAACTAAATCTCTTCATGAGTTACCACCGCCCCCNATAGGGCATGAAAATCGATGGTGGGCACTACTACAATGTGGCCATTGTCAAAAGACATTTTTGAAATGTGGAGCTAGAGAATTCTTCTTCACCAAAGCTCTTGCATCTACACCCTTCAACAAAACGTGGTTACAGAAAGCAAGAACGGACACCTTTTAGAGGTATCCCATTCCTTAATGTTCCAGATAAATATTATGGAGAGGCTGTCTTACATTCTAATGAACCACTGGATCCTTGTACTCCTATATCAGCTGCTTGCTATACTCAAGAAATATGTCCTTGACTTGTCCAAAAAGGGACTACAAAAAGTGGCTAGCCATTACTCATTTAGAGAGTAGAGAGAAATTAGTGGGAAAGTCAAAAGGTTGAATGCCTAGTAGACTGGGAATAGAGCTGAAAGTTGTAGGGAACTTGATATATTAGACACTTACAAAGCCCAATATTATCTACTGCATACAGTAAGTTTGTGCATTTTCCAACTGAAAGGCATCTAGAGGCAGCAACTATATATTGAAATATCCCATGGGAACTCTAGTCAAAGGAATTATTGAAGTGTTTGCAAATTCTAATTGGGCTAGACCTAGATCAACTGAAGTTAGTAAACAACTGGGAATAGGCTATAGAACAAGCACAAAGGCATGGGGAAACCTTGTTACAAGGATAACCAAAATGCAATCTCCATTGTGGTAGGGAGAAGTATGGATGCTACGTTTGTGGCAATCATAAAATGTTTATGACATTGATTTGGATTGAGAGGCTCTACAAGACCTAAAATTCTGTAGAAAAGGTCTATGGAGCTATGTAGTAACAGTGAATTAGCACAAGCATGGTTTGCAAGCTTGCTAGCGTGATCAAACAAGCATGTCAAAATTGAAGCAATCATATCAGATGTGAAATTGTTTTTATGGGGACTTACCAAAGCCTGTCAACATTTAGGTTTGAATTCGTATTTGGTAAGCTAGGAATGATTAACATCTATTCACCAGGTTGAGGGGCAATGTTGCAGAGGATCTTGGTCATCATAGGAGGTGGCACTAAATGCCAGTAGCTGTAAATGTTGTATGTTTATGGTAATTTCTGAATTGTATCCTGATTGATGATTGCAACTTTAAAAACAATCTCCTATGTATAATTTGCGTAGCTTTAGCCTATTTCGTGTAAAATAGGTATTCCCAAAATAGCAAATAAGATTTCTTTCTGAAGCCTATTTGTTCACTAACTTTACAAACTCAAATTTAAATCACTAACTATCTGTAAATTTTCTCATAAGAGGTGGGTGCTCCAAATGCCAGAGCCACTTACCTATAATTTGCTTGTTTCTTCATCCATCATTTAAAATTCAAAGTAACAACAGAATTACTAGAATTTGCAAACTAAATCAGTTCCTTTCGCTAAATACTTGTTTTTAAGCATCAATAAAAGTATAGTCCTAACATCGAAAGAAATTTACCCTCAATAAAGTACTTGGTGATGATACACCATGAGATATTGGTCCTGACTTTCTTCCATCAAGCTCATACAGTTGACCTGCATATCATACAATTACCGAGAAATTAATCAAATGAATTTTTTGCAACTACTAAAGGAGAACAAAGTCAACTAGACATGAATAGGATCATGGATAGTTTAGTTATAGCCTTTAAATATAGCTGGTTTATGATTTCGACATTTAGTTTGCCTACTATAGTGGTGTTGTCGATACGATCACATCTTGGTATATTGTTTTGCTCTTTTTATGAACACAACACAGACAAAAAATTACAGTAGAAGAACAATGTAGCAGAAGAACAGAAAGGAAAACAGAAATTGCAGAGAGAGAAGATTCCAACACGTCCACCCTCTTCTCTCTCCCTAACGGCCTGATATATTATTCCCCCAGCCAATAGTAATCCTTCAACTTGGAACTAGTTATCTTGGGCCCTGAGCCTCTCCTGATACCCACCCCTACGTCTTTCTCATCCTCCTTTCTAGGTAATGACTCCTTTGCTCTTTGCAGTTTTGTTACACTATAGTGGTGTTGTTGATACAATCACATCTTGGTATATTGTTTTGCTCTTTTTATGAAGACAACACAGACACAAAATATTACTCAGTTATCTATATAAAGAAATTACCTTCTACACAGGCAAAGCAGATGAAATGAGGGTCCTCATTATCTGATGCCTGCATTAGAAGAAAAAACGTTGTAAGACAAGAAAGTAAACAGTTAGAAAAAAACAATTATGTTATTGCAAGGCAGAGAGGGTTGTTATCTATATTTACAATACTATCCATGTTTTGCCTCATGGTATGACAGCATTCTGATAGTTATATCTCCTAAAACCTCAGTAAAAATTGCAAAATCATCCAACACAAGAGCTATTAGTATTAAACACTTCATATTGATGGGTCTTGCTGTTCAGGATATAGTTTCCATTCCTTTTGTTCTATCCACACACAAAAATTGCATGGAAAGATGATTTAAGCATTTCTTCACATATTCAATAAAAATGCTTCCCTTTGACTTATATATGGCCCACTACATTACACTTCCCCATAATGGGGTTTGGGGAGCAAAGTTAAAGGATAGATTCCAAATTTTGAACCCATAACCTCTACATCATAAGGTTACCTTACTGTTGCACCAGCATTTGCCCACAAGAAAGTCATTAAGAATAAGAGAAGAAAATTACAAAGAAATTTAGAGGATGCGGGACCAAACTAAATCTCTTCATGAGTTACCACCGCCCCCNTTCAGTTTTCTAATATAGTCTTTAAAAACCAGAATGCCCTTAAACTGAGCTGCTTCAATTGAATTAAACTATAACTTATAAAATTGAAAAAGAGTGAAATACATGCTTCAAAATAAGATGTCCACTGCGGATAGTTCAAACAGATCAGTCAATTCAAAGCAATTCCATTTGTTTGAATTGTTAAATGGTTCAATTCAGTTCGCCTTTGCCATCACGAGGTTTGGTTTAATTTGGGCAAATTGCCTTTACAATTTAATTCAATTCTATAACAGTTCAGTTTGTTTATCACTTCATCTATTTTGCACACCCCTAATCATTTGGCAAGCTTCTAGCCTTTTTACCATCAGTCACTAATGGTGAGTTCAAGTAATCTCCTCTAGAGCCAAACTCATTCACCTATCTGCCTTATAAGATTGACCTCCCATTTGCTTTTTAAAAAGGGTTTCGCTTAATTCAATCTTTCTCCTCATTATGTTACTTAGGTTATCATCAGATGCTTGTTTTGCATTATACTTGTCTTTCTTCCCTAACCGGTTCCTATTTTTATACCACTCTTGTTGTCAATAAACTAGGATTGATGTGAATGTGTACGCTATAGTCACCAAGAGTTGATTAGTTTATTCTACAAAATTAAATGACATCACACAAACAAAACAATCTGGCTTTCCAAATTTATGGAAAAAGAGCATATGTTCAATTTCTAGCAAGACCGAAATAGGGTCATACACAAAATCAAAGGTTACTAGGAAAAAAAACTTTTCCCCATGCATCTAATTGTTTTAACATAAAAATGGAAGAAATGATACAAGGAAAGAAATTTAGGAGTATTTTTTGTTTAGTGATGTTACAAATTTTATATGGTCTACACATTAAAAAGCGGTTCTTTCCCACTTTGGCAGAAAAGGAAAGAATGGGAGCTTGAAATGTAAACGAAACTAATACCCTTATTTATATCACAATACATCACTTTTTTTATTTAGAGTATTTGTCCTTTTGCACACATTTTTCCTCTTGCATTTTTCTCCCCTACCAACCAACCTATAAATTCATCACAGTTCCTTCTACCTTTTGTTCCTTCCATTTTGTGGATGTTACAAGAGAGAAGAAAATGGGTTATATCTAATCTTCCCTGCTAGACCAGATACAACTTCTCCAAGTTGTGTACTAACTAGTTATCGGTTAGTACTCGAAACAAGTCATATAGAAAAAAATAGGGCATGAAAATCGATGGTGGGCACTACTACAATGTGGCCATTGTCAAAAGACATTTTTGAAATGTGGAGCTAGAGAATTCTTCTTCACCAAAGCTCTTGCATCTACACCCTTCAACAAAACGTGGTTACAGAAAGCAAGAACGGACACCTTTTAGAGGTATCCCATTCCTTAATGTTCCAGATAAATATTATGGAGAGGCTGTCTTACATTCTAATGAACCACTGGATCCTTGTACTCCTATATCAGCTGCTTGCTATACTCAAGAAATATGTCCTTGACTTGTCCAAAAAGGGACTACAAAAAGTGGCTAGCCATTACTCATTTAGAGAGTAGAGAGAAATTAGTGGGAAAGTCCAAAGGTTGAATGCCTAGTAGACTGGGAATAGAGCTGAAAGTTGTAGGGAACTTGATATATTAGACACTTACAAAGCCCAATATTATCTACTGCATACAGTGAGTTTGTGCATTTTCCAACTGAAAGGCATCTAGAGGCAGCAACTATATATTGAAATATCCCATGGGAACTCTAGTCAAAGGAATTATTGAAGTGTTTGCAAATTCTAATTGGGCTAGACCTAGATCAACTGAAGTTAGTAAACAACTGGGAATAGGCTATAGAACAAGCACAAAGGCATGGGGAAACCTTGTTACAAGGATAACCAAAATGCAATCTCCATTGTGGTAGGGAGAAGTATGGATGCTACGTTTGTGGCAATCATAAAATGTTTATGACATTGATTTGGATTGAGAGGCTCTACAAGACCTAAAATTCTGTAGAAAAGGTCTATGGAGCTATGTAGTAACAGTGAATTAGCACAAGCATGGTTTGCAAGCTTGCTAGCGTGATCAAACAAGCATGTCAAAATTGAAGCAATCATATCAGATGTGAAATTGTTTTTATGGGGACTTACCAAAGCCTGTCAACATTTAGGTTTGAATTCGTATTTGGTAAGCTAGGAATGATTAACATCTATTCACCAGGTTGAGGGGCAATGTTGCAGAGGATCTTGGTCATCATAGGAGGTGGCACTAAATGCCAGTAGCTGTAAATGTTGTATGTTTATGGTAATTTCTGAATTGTATCCTGATTGATGTTTGCAACTTTAAAAACAATCTCCTATGTATAATTTGCGTAGCTTTAGCCTATTTCGTGTAAAATAGGTATTCCCAAAATAGCAAATACGATTTCTTTCTGAAGCCTCTTTGTTCACTAACTTTACAAACTCAAATTTAAATCACTAGCTATCTGTAAATTTTCTCATAAGAGGTGGGTGCTCCAAATGCCAGAGCCACTTACCTATAATTTGCTTGTTTCTTCATCCATCATTTAAAATTCAAAGTAACAACAGAATTACTAGAATTTGCAAACTAAATCAGTTCCTTTCGCTAAATACTTGTTTTTAAGCATCAATAAAAGTATAGTCCTAACATCGAAAGAAATTTACCCTCAATAAAGTACTTGGTGATGATACACCATGAGATATTGGTCCTGACTTTCTTCCATCAAGCTCATACAGTTGACCTGCATATCATACAATTGCCGAGAAATTAATCAAATGAATTTTTTGCAACTACTAAAGGAGAACAAAGTCAACTAGACATGAATAGGATCATGGATAGTTTAGTTATAGCCTTTAAATATAGCTGGTTTATGATTTCGACATTTAGTTTGCCTACTATAGTGGTGTTGTCGATACGATCACATCTTGGTATATTGTTTTGCTCTTTTTATGAACACAACACAGACAAAAAATTACAGTAGAAGAACAATGTAGCAGAAGAACAGAAAGGAAAACAGAAATTGCAGAGAGAGAAGATTCCAACACGTCCACCCTCTTCTCTCTCCCTAACGGCCTGATATATTATTCCCCCAGCCAATAGTAATCCTTCAACTTGGAACTAGTTATCTTGGGCCCTGAGCCTCTCCTGATACCCACCCCTACGTCTTTCTCATCCTCCTTTCTAGGTAATGACTCCTTTGCTCTTTGCAGTTTTGTTACACTATAGTGGTGTTGTTGATACAATCACATCTTGGTATATTGTTTTGCTCTTTTTATGAAGACAACACAGACACAAAATATTACTCAGTTATCTATATAAAGAAATTACCTTCTACACAGGCAAAGCAGATGAAATGAGGGTCCTCATTATCTGATGCCTGCATTAGAAGAAAAAACGTTGTAAGACAAGAAAGTAAACAGTTAGAAAAAAACAATTATGTTATTGCAAGGCAGAGAGGGTTGTTATCTATATTTACAATACTATCCATGTTTTGCCTCATGGTATGACAGCATTCTGATAGTTATATCTCCTAAAACCTCAGTAAAAATTGCAAAATCATCCAACACAAGAGCTATTAGTATTAAACACTTCATATTGATGGGTCTTGCTGTTCAGGATATAGTTTCCATTCCTTTTGTTCTATCCACACACAAAAATTGCATGGAAAGATGATTTAAGCATTTCTTCACATATTCAATAAAAATGCTTCCCTTTGACTTATATATGGCCCACTACATTACACTTCCCCATAATGGGGTTTGGGGAGCAAAGTTAAAGGATAGATTCCAAATTTTGAACCCATAACCTCTACATCATAAGGTTACCTTACTGTTGCACCAGCATTTGCCCACAAGAAAGTCAATAAGAATAAGAGAAGAAAATTACAAAGAAATTTAGAGGATGCGGGACCAAACTAAATCTCTTAATGAGTTACCGCCCACCCCCCCTCAATTATGATTGCTTTAAATTTAACAAATAAAATACCACTGTATCGCCATCAGTGGCTGCTACTGAATGAGCAACTTCCATGTCCCTGTCATTCACCAGAAAGGCAGCCCGCTGCAAAATACGCAAGTTTGAAAATGCCAAATTAGCATTATATTTAACTGGCTATTAGTGTCATTTGTTTGCATTTATGAAAAATGAGAAATAAAGAGAAAAGTTTCGGGTAAGAAGAAATAAACAACCTGCAATGGATCCATGCTGGCAGTAGATTTAAAGAACTCGTCAAAAAATGACCCTTCAACTGATACCAACAAGAGCAACACAAACTGAATAAAATATAATGGCTCATACTATAAACTTAAACAAAGGCTGTGATTGTTAAAAGCCTACCAAGCTTGACTTCGGAAGTTATGTTCCCAAGTGCATGAAGCAGACCTATCAAACCACAAGCATTACCCACGGTTTGCTTCATAAAGTACACTTTACTGCTATAATCCTACAGCAAAACAACAACACAAAAATCCTACTAAATGCAGGTGCTTCATAGAAAGACACGCAGTTAAAAAATCAATTATAAGACATATGCTACCTAAAATTCAGATTTATTGGACGATATTTAATAAAATAACCAATTAAGCTTGTAAGACGATCTATAATTTATAATACCTTACAGTCCAAACTAAATGCGGAATGCTTTGAATAAGGGAAAAAGAATAGTCACAGACAGATGAAAATACTCCATAAATAGACATACCCACTCAGGCACTCACCTTTTTTTCATTTTCCTGTTGCAACCTTTCTTCTTCAGACTTATAAGAGGAAATAAAACACTCACAAAATCAGAAGCAAAAGATATGAAAATGACTTGACAGCAGAAATAAAAATTGGTAAAAGAAAAACTCACATGTTTCGTGAGTTGAAACTAACCTTTGCGGTAATGGGATAAAGAAAAAGCACGGCAAGAACTGGCTTCGGGACCATTTCCAGAAGCTCTTCATCCAAGCCAAAAACATCACAGCACTCTGCCTCCTCCATTGGAAGGCCAAGACCCCGAAGGACCTGTAATTCATCCAAAAAAAAAACACTTAAATTTCACGCTGCCAAATAGAATAAAAAATTGTAAATCCAAAATGTAACAAAATTTGTTATATGCGTAACTGTTCCATGAATAAACCGTCATAATTGAAGGCATGATTGAAACATTTCGCTCAATGACAAGGAAATAGGAGGAGAGAGAATGCCTTGTTCATGACGTCGGGGTTAGCTTCAAGAGGAAGAAAACTGTTCGCCATTCTAATTTCTTTTTAGTTTCTACTGCTGCTACGTTATTCTCTTCTTCTCACTCACTCTTAAACATTCAGAACTCAGATTACTATATATGATTGAATTCGTGGGCCTTATTGAGCCTCTGCAACGTGCGTAGTTTTAGCACGTAAATCTGTAATGCAAAATCCATGATATTCACACCTCCTGCTTCATAATCGCACCATTTCTTTTCTTTTTAGTTTCTTTTATTTTATTATTAAAAAGTATCTTTCTCGTAATATAGATTGACCCTTCTCTTCCAAATATTAACACATCTCCCTCTATTTTATCTATTTCTTAACTGCTTTCCTCTTCTTCTTCTTCTTAAGTTTACATCGATGGAGAGAATAGAATGCGATTAAAATATGTAATTTTAAATTTCACTGTTTAGAATATTTAAAATAAAATGTACCATGACAGAAATATATTTCGTATTATTCCTCTTTCTGTTGTCCCGGCTTTGGGGGTTGAGATCAACGAATTTTTCTAATATTAATTATATCATTAAATATTCTTATTTTTGTAATCCGAATAAATTTGAAAATTATTATTTTTATCTCTATATCATATGATCATGGTTAACTATGTATTAATTTAGCGAAATGTTAAGTAAGTAATCATTCAAATAAGTACCTATTTATATTATAATATTATGCCTACAGATAACGCAATTAAAAAAATACTTGTAAGATCGGGGGTAAATATACATGATGTTATTATCAACGTTAAAATGGATATTAGAAATTAAAATTAGAGATTTCAAATTTGAAAAGAAAAAAAAATTAAAATGAAAATTCTGACATTTTATAAGGACTAAAAAAACTTGCTTTCAAATTATACAAATATAAAAACAATTTCTGATAAGAAATAACAAGTCAAAACTCATTTATCTACGATTAAAATATAGTTAAGCGCAAAAGGAAATTAACAATGAGAACGGTAACTCTATTCCCATTTCGTATCTTCCTCCTTCGTTTCCTTCAATTTCAACGTTAACCACAGTCGTACGAGAGAAAACAAATACATGTTCTTGAGGGTTGCTTAATTATACAATGGTCTTTACTTTTTACTCTGGATCACCACAAGTTTATACTCCAAGTCCGCAAACAGATTAATTTATTGCCATAAAACCTCCAGAGAAAATGTTTGGAGTCTTTGTGCAATATTATATCAATATAAGAACAAAAGCTCAAAGCCAATTTCTAAGGAACGTGATGTTTTTAGATACTAAATGACTGTACACAAATGGGAGGAGATTGTTCCCAGTGAAATTGCAGCGGAATTTCATCATCTAGGAAGTTGACTACAGGCTCTAGATGACTAATCTAAATGACAGATGTTGCTCACTAGACACAATCAGCAAAAGGAACACACCCCAATCACTCACCAGTATACCTTGGTTTCCGCTTCTCAGCAAATGCAGCCAATCCTTCTAATCGGTCTTTAGTACTCAAGACATAATCATAGTAATCTTCTTCCAAGACCAAAGCTGATGTTAGATCAGTCCTCAACCCCCCTCATTAATGCTTTTTTAGCCATCCTTATACTACTGGACCCTGTTAAAATCAGTTGGAGCACAGGGATCAATTACACCCGCTAAATCATTTGTGGGGTTTTTGCACAAGAAGTAAAGCTTTTAGTAATGTACTTGTAACATGAACTATTTATCCTTTTCTTAATAAATCAACTTCTTCAAAAGAACAAAATGGAAAACCAACATTTAGAAATATAAAGTCACGACCATTTATTTATACATGGACATTCAACGGCACAAAAGGCCTGATCCACGCATTTCTAAATGTCACAAACCACAGCTATACCATAATCCCAGTTTCAGAGTGATATATTTCTGAGGGAGATACCTTTTGATTGATATCCCGAGCAACTCTGTAAGTGCCTTTGAATAAGCTCACCAGCAGGAACACAGTAATTAACAAGACCTGTACAGATAAAATTTTAGGCAACCATCGTGCTGTTTGTGGAGGAATAAAAAACAAATGTTTATGCTTTATTTGTGAAAAGAAGCATTAAGAAGTTACCAATTTTTCAGGTGAAATTTTTTGTATCGTTATTTTATAGAAAGTCGCACAACAGTAACCTTCTCTTTGCTTTACTGGAGTCAGCAGGAAATGGCTAAGTGTTTCCTATGAACACCAAAACAATAGAAGTTCAATGGACAAAGACTTTTGCTTCGTAATGTCTTGAACATTCTTTTCAAGTGAAATATAAGTTTGCCGAAACAATGAGCATATACGGTGTATTCTCCAGATTTTCCTCCTCAAAATCTATGTTTTGATGTCTTTACTAATTAGATAAAAAGGAGCTGAGTGACTAATCAAATACCCAAGGGACAGTGCCCTTTGCCATCAACCTTCGACCAGTAAATATAATATCCTTTGCAATTGCTTTTCCACATCTAGGTATCCCTGAGATCCACCTGCTCCTGTATCATAATGACAAGAATTCATTCAAGCTGACCTACTACACTCATTCATAAAAAATTAAAAACAATTCAAATTCACCGAATACATTCATATTTGTCTACATATTTCAAATATACTCCACAATCTATCTTGAGATTTAATCTTTTACTTTATTAGATACAGAACTGAAGAGATACATGACAGAAATAATGGCGTCAAAGAACTAACACTATGAAAAAGGCTGAAGAAAAATAGTATGAAACAAACAATACGCCAGGGATTATGCAAGTCCTGTCTCTGGCAAACCCATGAGAGCATTTTCTCCTATACCATGAAAGAAAAAACAAGTGAAGAAAATGTCTGATACTGGCGTCACATTCAGAAGCAACCAAACAAATAGAATTCAATATAAAAAATAAATACAGCATATTAAACTACCACATATTCGAATATCACATGCAAGAGCCAACTCAAGTCCACCACCAAGAGCTACTCCTTCAATAACAGCAATAGTTGGAACACAAACCACCTGATAAAGAAAAAAAAATTTCCTGATCAAGAGTAGTATAATTGAAATGGGAAAACAGAGATGCGATACACAAGAAGTACAGACAGAGGAAAAACGAACTCGATAGATCCAATTGGAGATTTTTCATCACCAAGATTTCTTAGTACCACCCAAAGACGGACTAAAATGAAGAGAAAAAGAAAGTTGGGTCACGCTCTTGAGCTACATAATAACCTCTCCCCAAAAATCCCCTAAATGAATAAACAATACCAGAAAGAATGTGAAACAGAATAGAAAGTATAGAATTAAACACCAATTCCATGTTGGTATTTTATGTGGATAATACACACAACAAATATTAGAATGCAGCCCAATAAACCAAATACACTAATGTGATCCAGTAGTAATTACAAAAACAAATTATGAATGATTTCAACTAAACCGCTAGAAATGAAAATGTGGAGCGAATAGAATTCAAAAAAGTCTTAGCCTCTGATGACCATGGTCCTGCGTTCCTGCAGCCCAATAAACACAGAACCTTTAAAGGAAAAGGATGACTTTTCTCCAATAACATAATATGTAAATTAAATCCACACTACCTTAACTAACAGCAAGAACCCGTTCCAAAAATGGATCAAAACTATTTGGCAATAATTAGGCTTTGAAAAAATGTTAGTTTAGGATCACAGTCACCACAGAAGGAAAAAGAAGCACATAAATTATAAACACCCAAGCCTTTCTTCCTTTGAAGATTGAACAATAAGGAATTTAACAATTAACCTTTAAATCGGCCCCGGCACAAAATACCCCAGGAACTGAACTGCTGATTATAGCAACATTAGCGTAAGATTTCTGATTAATCAACTCAAAAGCCTACTCAGCCTTCAGCATTCTTCCCATAGCATATTACTTCAGGCCCTATCAAAGCTAATTGGACAATTCCTGTAAAAATAAAAGAAAATGAGATGGAATAAAATGAAAAAAAAAAAAACATTGTAAAGGTGAATGGGGTAAGAAAAAGATAATATACCAGAATCTGGGCCGGTGAGTCTGTGAAGCTTGACGAATTCGGAAGGGGAAATGTCAAGAATAAGATTTCGACGGGTCTGGTACTGACCGTGGTGCTGATGTGCGATGAAATTGAGAGTGAGATAGGGTTTGTAACTTTTGGCATGAGAGCTGCACTTGGTTAACACTCTCATGGCGAACATTTTCTCAGTGAGATGATCACTTCTTGGGACAATATGGAAATCAACCAGTTTCGTGTTTGATCGTTCTGGATATCAGGATAAGTATAAATTAATGTTTGCTTAAACTTATATTTTACCTTTCTTTTCTCTTTTAAAAAAATAAACTAAGTCAAACTAATTTCTTACGAAAATAAACTCTTAAAAAATAAAATAATACTTTTTATCATTGTGAATCGAATGTAACCTCTCATTGTATGATCACCTTTGAATTTATAAAAAATGTTATAACATCCTATTTATCTTACCTTTAATATTTTATAGTTAACATGATATAGCATTATTACAAACATACATCATACTTTTAATTTCAAATAAAAATACTAATAAAATGGTTATAAACTCTTTTCCACTATTTCTTTCCTCCTTTTTTTACTTATATTGGATCAATCATTTTTCTATCATTTATTTCCATATAACACACATTATACAATTATAACACATTATACAATTATAACACAAACACAAATAAATATAGGTAAGCTAACGTACAACAAATCATTCATAAAATAAAATATGCATGATCATATTATCATGCAATAATCATAACTCAATCATCTAAATGAAACGTTAATACAAAATCATGGAAGGTTGTACACTTGTGGGAGCCTCGACTGCTATTTATAAAGGCATTTTCAATACAATACATCATGTCATCCACACTATTAGCCCATTAACACATATGTCTAAAATCGACACATAGACTATGACATTTTATTCATTTCACCACATAAGTCATCATTCTTTAAAATTGAATGGTTTTTAGAGTATACACTAACCAATTCCAAACACAGAATCTTTCCACGAGAGTCTTGGCCAATCTCATATCATGTTCATATTCATCAACCAATTTATCATGCAACACATATTTGAATATTTGATCCAAATTTGTGTTGGTGGTATAACAACGTTCAAATCAATTATACAACCATACATATAAATCAATGATACAATTACTCAAGATTTCACCCCAATATGATTAAACGTTGTTAACATAAACAATTAAAATATTACATGGAAACATTATTTTAGCTACATGCCTCTGATTAAAGATCTGACCAATAAAAGTGAATAACAATACATCTAGAATGTAAGATAAAATTTTCAATTCAATTTAACGGTTAATGAAGTGGAAATCTTAATTTTACCTAAATGACCAAAAAATAAATCAAGGTAGAGTTGAGTTCCCTATGAAACATGAAACAAAATTCTCAAAATACAAACATCCTATAAAAATTTTGAGAGATCAAAGTACATTAATATGCCTTAGGAACTACATATCCAAATTTCAGGTTAATCTAATGGTTAAATAGATAGAAATTGAGATTTTTTCGAGAACTCAAGGACAAAATTCAAGTGGTTTTCAACTATACCCAAAATGTGAAATTAATTCCTCTAAACACATACATCCAATAAAAAATATGAGCGAAAAGATGAATCAATATTCCTTATGAACTACATATCAAAATTTAAGGTCACTCTAATAGTAAACAAAGTGGGATTTGAAGTTTTTACCGAGGTAACTTAAGGACAAAAATACAATGTTGATCAGGTTACTAAAAAATGTGAAATGAATTCCTCTGAGCATAGACTTCAAATTAAAAATCCAAACGGTCAAATTGGAGTAATATATCTTAGAAATCATATATTAAAATTTCAACTTAATCTAATGGTAAGCGAAGAGGGGATTGAGATTTTGCTGATGTAAATTAGAGATAAAAATAAAGTGGTGATCAATTTACTCAAAATTGAGAAATTAATTCATCTAAGTACAAACCTTAAATTAAAGACATGAGGGGTCAAAGTAGACTAATGTATCTCAGAAATCATATATCAAAACTTTAGTTTCATTTAACATTAAAAAAATGAGATTAAGGTTTTATTGAGATAACTCAAAAAATAGAAAATAAAAAAAAATAGTCAAAATAAACCAAACGCACATAAGTGGACAGCTACCTATCATTAATAAACCCAACATGCTATATATCATATAATTATAATCATAAACCTAAAATATACATTTATCAAGAACAAAGAAAAAAGTTAGTTGCCCTGCTTCTTGTCTTAAACAACTTCAATCTTTTTATTCCTGAAATAGAATACTCTATGGACCAAGGTAGCCTTTGAACTTGGAGAATCTCTTTACACTTTAGAAATATATACTCTTTGTGTAACCAAGCTCCTTTCCTCCTTTTTTTTTAATGTTTTTCACTTCATTATTGTCATATATAGCAAACCAAACTTAACTATAACTACATGTACCTTTCACACTTAATACCACAGCTAATACTTATTTAACTTCATCTCTTTCTAAAGTTCACACCTAATACTACACTTAATATCACACCTAACACTATACCTAACAAAATGCATATTTTATTGGTTTAAACCCTTATTTGGTCCTCATATTTGTGTGTCAATCTCAAGTGGGTCATCATGTTTTTTTTTGTCTCAATCGGGTCCTTAAACTTGTTAAAATGAGCCAATTAAGCCCTCTCCGTTAAAATATAAGTAACGTCATTTGCCTGTGCTGATGTGGTCACACTTAAAATACTGATATGACATTAATTAAAAATGTTAGGGATTAAAAGTCTTCATCGTCTCCCATCTCTTCCAACGCTCAAAAGCTGCAATCTTTCTTTGTTTTTTCCTCTTCTACTTCATCTTCCAACTTTTCCATTCCTTCTCCATTATTTTTCATTATGCAATCACACCACACTGCAACAAAAACCATTCTGATATCAAAACAAAAAAACCCAATTAAAACCCAAAATTCACGAGACAAAAAACATTGTTATCTTTGAAGAAAAATTGAAATTGGAATTGAATAGTTAAAGGGAACATACCTGCTAAGGTGATTAATCCTAAGAAGAATCAAAAGGCGCAGACAAAGAAAAAAGGGGAAGACTTTTTGAAAACCCTAATTCGTTCTCTCATCTTGAATTTTGAGAAGAACGTCGACAAAATCCTCATCCTCCACTTCAACGCCGTCTTCTTTTGCCTCTTTTCGTTTTTCTTTATGTTCTTTGAAAACGTTATCCAATACCTCTTCAACGCCGGTTTCGGGGACTTCTTGAAACTCTGCGGAAGAGGAAGAATGACCCAGCGAATGCTAGAAAGGGGAAGAACAAATTGCCAATGATGTTGAACAAGCTGTTAGGCGATTCGGCTTCGGCAACGAAAATGTCAACGTCATTCGTGGCGAGGATGTCGATGAGGTCGGGGTCATTGGGGACGATAACGGAGGCTTGACGGCAGACAATGATGGTTAGTTGGAGGGTGGAATCGTCTTTACTGAACCTGGCTCGCTCGACTTTACCCTTCTTAACGGCATTCAAGATCTCGCTGTAGCACCAATTGGTATCTTTGGGGAGGTCGGAAGAGGCTTGGGGTTTGGGTGCTGTGAGAAGGTTCAAGGAGAAAGGTGAGGAGGTTGCGTTGGAGGGGTTTAATTGCCTAATTCTGTAACAGGAATTCTCTTGCCATCTCTATAAAATCTGCAGATTGGTTTATCATCATTTTGTTTCTCTCATGATACATTCTTTTAAGGTAGAAAACTTCTTTGCCTTTTGTCGTGCACATGCTGATGACGCTGAAATTTACTGTCGGCAACCTTATAGAGACGCCGTTGCACAATACGTGAAGGATGAAGACGGTGTAGGATGATGAAGACTTTGAAAATCCCTAACACATTTCTAATTAAATTTTGTGCCATCTCAACTCTTCATTTATAGCATTGTTACATCAGCATCTTAAGTGTGTACCACGTCATCACATTTTAACACCGTCTGTGATAACTTAATGGAGAGGACTTAATTAGCTTATTTTAACAAGTTTATGGACCTGATCGAGACCGAAAAACACGATGACTTGAGATTGACACACAAATACGAAAACCAAATGAGAATTTAAACCTATTTTATTATAA